CCTCTGGCTCTGGAGTCGTAAACCGACAGAAATTAGCTGAGTTTCTGAGAGGAAATGATCTGTCTTTCTTCGGAATCGTTGTTCGCTTCTGTTTTGCAGCAAGTCCTTTCACCGCAAGTGTATCAAACAAGTCGCCCATCTCCATTTTCTTTCTCAAACCATTGTGTTCGTCCATGAACCTTCATAGAGCCAAAAAAAAACATAAGACGTTGGAACACATCAGATTCTTCATTGTAGCACAAAAGTCAAGACAATGTAATAGCCATGTTTCCCCTGATTACAGCAAGAGAATTAGAATCATTTTATCCGCTAGAGGAAACAACGAATGAACATTTCTATAAAGTAAAATCTAAAATGCAACAATGTTTGGATCAAACAACACCTTTCTCGTATTGCTTTGAAGGCGTCTATAGTTGCATAAGGAAGACCGGTTTTTGGATCTCGGTACCTGTATCACCGATCCATAACAGTTAAGAACTAGTTGTGGAATTCCAGAGAAAAGAAAATCAGGTTGCTTGGGTAAAACATCGTTTCTTTTCAACAACTAAAAAACAAAGAAACTGTTAACTTCTCTTTAATAGACTTTAAAAGAATCTAGTTGTGTTCATTCAACAAGACCTTTGTGTCTCCCAGTGACAAAGTACATGAACAGGAAAAATCTTACTTGGCAGGTAATCCCGTAATCGCGCATACAGCTTTCTCTGGATCTGGAAAAGAAAAAAGAAACTAAATTAAAGACAGATATCAAAATGGCTTACATGTAAAAGAGCACATTAATTTCATCTATGAACTATTTAAACAAAATTTCCACCATTACAGACAATATTACTTACACGGAACAGACTTCGTCGAAATCTCTGAACCGAATGATGCACCATTACAGAATTCTAGATAGTTGCATCCTGCATGTAAAGTTGGGCAACCCTTTAAACAAATATAGTTCCTACTTTTCTGGAAAGAACCAATCAGATGAGAAAACAATTTTCCTGGAGAGCTTACCATCTTTTGAAAGAAACCGAACCTGAGGACCCTTGTAGATCTCTTTATGCACAATAGCTTTCTTTTTTACTTCTTCTTCCCTTGCCAAGACACGTTCTAAATTCCTCAAGTTCATGATCTCTGCAAAAACCCGACTTTAGCCATTTAAGTTTCTGACAGAAAAACGGACGCAGCATCACAAATCCGAACCTGTTTGAGCAGCTTCCAGCAGCATTTCTTCTTGCGTCATCCGTTTTTCCTCTCCTACTTTTTTCCTTTGTATCGGCTGAACAAGCACAAAAACGAATTCAGCATGGCAAAAGTTTAAAAGAGACCAAAGTGTAGTCACTAAAGGAAATAGCTAATGTAGAAGAATCCTCTACCTTTGTTGTTGCCTGTATAGCAGCACGCAATGCATCTCTTTCTGCTTGCCGTACAATCACTGAAGTCCGCGTAGATTTTCTTATGACTTTCTCACCTTCCATATCTTCTTGTGCTTCATTTTCATCTTGTTCTTTGTTCCCCGATTCTTCACCTGGCTTCTCACCTTCAGGAATATCTTCTATTTTCGAAAC